AAGCGCTTATTCCACTGAGCCATCTCCCCGGCCCCATACAATTGATTTAAAAATAAATGTTGTGAGCCAACAAGGAAAAGGAAGAGTTCCTATGCTTTAAAAATATATACACTTTTATTGAGTAGTCACCTTGCTGCCAACAGGTCTCAAAACTTATGCCTCTTATCTATCTGAATCTTTGTACTCCTTGATCAACAACTCCTCTCCTCATACGTTAGCATTTGGTCACCATCATTTTACTCTCTACTTCTGAGTTTGACTTTGTAAGATTGCACATACAAGTGAGATCGGTACTTTTAATACACTTTATTAATTTATTACTTTTCTAATCATGAAATAAAATATACTACACCCAAAACAATCACTTAATACTTTGATGTTTCTTTTTAATTTTTTCCTATGTATATTTGTATATAATTGAACCACATCTGGTACTTACTTTTTATAACTAATAATATAGCATGAGTGTTTTTCTATATCGTAAAATCTTTTCATAATATTCTCCCATATGGCTATAATAAACCATATTTGGCCATTTGTTTATTAGAAATTTAAGTTGACAAAAAAAGAAATTTAAGTTGTCTTTAATTTGGATGCACTAGACACAGCACTTTGAGAAACATCTCTTGCTAAATTATAAATTCTTTGAAGTCAGAGATTTGTTTTAACCAATATCTAGCACACAGCATGATATACAGTATGTTTGTTGTCAAGCTAAGAAATAATACTTTTTCATCTTGAGTTTTTTAAAAAAATTAGTTCTCTGGAGTGGATCATTGGGTCAAAGAGTATAAATGATTTTTGAGACATAATGCTCAATTACTTTTCATGTATGTTATAGCTATGTAACTATCACTAGTTCAGTATATGACAATACTTTACTTAATACAAACAGAATATTACTTTTTTTCTTCTTTCTTTCTTTCTTTCTTTCTTTCTTTCTTTCTTTCTTTCTTTCTTCTTTCTTTCTTTCTTTTGTATTTCAGGGAAGAGTCTACAAGGTGTTCAGGGTCTCACTACTAGATTGGACTCAGTGATCCACTTGTTTGCAGCTTCCCAAGAGTTGGGATTACAGGCACATGCCACCATGCCCAGTCTCAATTGCCATGTCAGCGTGCCCTGGGGGCAGGGCCGGCACAGCAGGCCTGGTGATCAAACCCCTGGCCCCTGTGCCTGCTTGCAGGCACTTTAATCTGCTGAGCTATTTGGCTTGCCCCCCAAAATATGAAATTTTTGATGGTTGAACATTACTTCAAGTATTTATTAGTTGTGTGTAGTTCCTTAATTATGAAGGAGACTTAACCTAGTCTTCGGTGTAAGACATAGTTCTGGGATGCTTCTCTAAAGAAGTGTTATCTAAATGAGATTTATAGCCTAAGTAGAAATAGACAAGGCACAAAATACTCATTAATAAAGAAGGGAAAATCAAGAAAACTTATAGCAGAAAAACCCAGCAGAAATCACCTTAATGAAGTGATCAAAGATAACATCAACATTAATGGGACACATTCATACCCCATGCTCCCTGATAACAGACTAAGAATATAGCATCATCTCTGTGATATTCTCACCAAAAACACGTAACTTGTCTTCCCCTCTCAGCCTGAGGGAACCTATGTTAACTGCCAATATAAGGAGAAAGCCTGTTAAACTAGATGCTCACGGAGATGTGTCAGTAGTTATCCAGCCAATGGCCCCACTTGTCAACTGGAGAGTATTCAGTGTTTTCCCTATGTCCTGTAATTCATGTGCCCCCAGTAATAATAAGAATTGGTCAGTTTATTTGAGATAATACCCAATGGCCATGAAAGATAAAAAAAGGAATTAAACCCCTTATTTAAGAGATCTCTGTTAATAGACCTACAAAAAGTTCTAACTAGCCTTTTTATAATTATAAACTTTAAGATGTTATGACATTCCAGATCCTTCTAATGTCTCAATAGCTGTTCAACATATTAGATATTCAAATCAATGGTATGTAAAATGCTGAGGTCCCCTGGACCCTATCTTTATCATTTTTATGGGAAGTCATTACTGTCTACTTGCTGAAAATAATTTTTGACTGTATTCATAATTATCCTGTTGTGATTATTTGACCCATGTATGTTTAATAGTTTCTTTGGCTTTGTCTCTCCCAGCTTTAAAGCTATTACATCTAACCAAGATAACAATGCCTGGTGTCTATTAAGGGCCTTTGGGTAGAACCTCTGGAGAGTATCTCTGACTGCCAGTCAACAACTATGACCCCTCTCAGCCTGAAGAAGCCAGAGCGGTCATTGGCCACGTTTCCCTCACAGCAGTTTGGGTTACTTCTTCAGAGGGGGAATGTTGTAAGCAGCTGAATTAGATAGAAATATTATAGGTAGTCAGACAGTGCCAGTCCCTCGAGACAAGATGGAAGACAAGGTGACTGCAACTTGAAAGAGACAGATACTCCCTATGGGTCAGACCTCAAGACAAAATAGTAAACAAATACAGCTACATACTTCCCTAGGGATGGACATCAGGGATTGATATTCTAAATAGGCACTAATCACCTTGAAAGAGCCCAAATGAGTCACTAACTTAATCCCCAACAGGAAAAGACCCTGATACATATTCATGCCCCCTTGCTATGTGACTTGCTTCCTCATTTGGTACTGGATTTAATCAATTTTACCTGAACAGTGGTGCTTGTAATCTCATTGGTTGACCATAGCTTCGTCCCACCTCATGCCCACCTAAGCAAGTTCCCATGCTCTCAACCACCTTAGGCCTGACTCACAACATGGTTTTACTCTAGAAAAGTCCCTGGAAGAGACAGCTTCCCGGGGACAACCCACTCAGGGTCCCCCTCCTGTCCCTCTTTCAGACAGGAGCTTTCTTTCCCCCAATAAATATATTCTACTCATAACCTCAAAAAAAACCCCACATAACTTAAATAAAATCTTCTTTTGGGGGGAAATCGGGGAATGAACTCAGGCCCTTGCACTTGCCAGGCAAGTGCTTTTGACTAAAATCATAAGGAAATTCAGAAAAAATCAAATCGAAGGACACTCTATAAAGTAACTGGCCTGACTCTGGGTAGTAAAAGGTGAAGGAAGACAGAGATTGTATCTTAGTAGATCAAATGCTTAGCATGCAGGAGGATGTCCTGGGTTTGAGCCAATAAAATCTGGCCTGGGAGCTTCATACATGATCCAGGAAGGGTAAAGAGATATTACAACTAAAGGTAACATGTTATTCTAGATTGGATCCTGTATCACAGGAATTTTCTACTTTTGCACAAAATGACATTATTGGGATAGTTAAAGAATTTAGATGGTGTCTATAAATTAACTATTAGTAATGTCAGTGTTCATATTCTGATTTTGAATATTGTACCATAGTTATAAAAGCAACTTTAAGGCAATTCACAATGCAGTATTAAGTATTTAGTTGGACATTAAGGCTGCAATGTGCTCCAAACTAGTTCAAAAAAAGTGTGTGCATGCATGCATGTGCGTATGTGTGTGTGTAAACAATGAGAGAGAAAGATAAACTAGATGTTAACAAGTGAAGAACTAAGATAAACTAAGATTGTACCATTTTAGCAATTTTTCCACTTTGAAATGATTTTAAAATAAAAAAAAACCTTCAGGGGTCAAAAAATTTAGGTAAAATATTCAATGATATTGATAATATCCAGAGTTAATTGAAGAAAGAGACATATATGATATATAATGGCAGGTGTGTATCATATACAGTTGGAAGAAAGGTAAGACTACTGGGAAAATTTTGGGAGGGCAATTTTAAAGTGTATATACCTTAACACAGTTGTTCCACGTTTAGAAATCTATCCTACGAAATTGTTTGTGCAAGTTACAGGATGTATGTGCAAAGATCCCTGCTAAAACATTATTTGGAACAGTACAACAATAGAGAATTCCATCGATAATACAATTATTAATCTACGGCAACGGAAAAGAGTGAACTAGATTAATGTGTATGAAAAGACACAGGAGGATGTTTTGTTATGTTGTTCAATGACATGAGATTTTTAAAATCAGTACATGTATGATCACACTTATTGTGGGGAGTTGGTGCACAGACATAACACATCTTAACTCTTTTTTTGTCCCCTTTCTCTACCATTCCTCCAATTCTTGTTGCCCTTCTCGCTTGCAAAAGTTCCACTTTCAGTTTTTAATTCAAATTTATCTTTCAAACCTCTCTTTTTCTTTTCTTCCTCTTCCACTCCCTCCATATCTCCTTCCCCACCCCATTTCAAAAGTTCTCCCTGCTTCCTACTTCCTTTTATTTTGCTCTTTATTTTTATTTTGGGTTTGCCATAGAAATCATGTGTGTCTCATTTATGTCACTTAATATTATAGTTCTGAGATGCTTCCATTTCCCTATAAATGCCTCAAATTTATCCTTCTTTATGGCAGAATAGAACTTTACTGTATGTATAAATACCACTGTTTTTAATTTTAGGAAAGAGTCTACAATGTGTTCAGGGTCTTACTACTAGATCGGACTCATAGTGATCTGCCTGTTTACAGCTTCCCAAGAGACTGTGCCACCACACCCAGTCTTAATTGCTGTCTCAGAGCCCCCTGGGGGCGGGGCCAGCTTGGCAGGCCCCGGGATGGAACATCCTGCCCCTGCACCTGCTTGCAGGCACTTTCATACACTGAGCTATTTGGCCGGCCCTACTTTTTCTTGATCTCTTTGCTTGTTGATGGGCACATAGCTTTTCCCATGAGTTCGGTATCATAAACTGTGTTGCTATAAATGTGAGTATGCATTATTGCTGTAATATGACATCTTTAACTTTTTTTGGTATTTAGTACAGGTCTACAAGGTCTCACTATGTAGATCCGACTTGTAGTGATACTTGTTTTCAGCCTCCCAAGCGCTGGGGTTACAGGTGCGCACCACCATGCCCAGTCAGTTGCTTACGCAACACACCCCGGGGGTGGGACCTGCAGGACACTCTGGAGATTAAACCCTGATCCTGCACCTGCCTACGCAGGCATTTAGTCCACTGAGCTATCTGGTCGGCCCTCTTTAACTGTTTAGCAAAGATAGCTAGAAGAAGAATAGCTGGGTCACATGGAATTTCTACTTTTAGTTTTTTGAGCAACCTCCATACTGATTGCCAGATTAGGTGTACTAGTTTACATTTCTACCAACAATTTTCCTCTTTCCTGCAGCCTCTCCAGCACTTATTTGATTCCTGATGATTGTCATTTCTTCCAGAGTAAGACAGTATCTTAGTGTTGTTTCAATTTGCAATTCTCTAATGGCCAGTGATGGTGAACACTGTTAAATAAAACACAATTGGGCTACACAGAAGTAGGTACAGTAATTGAAAATACAATATCTATGCCACTTTGATGATTTAAAAATTCATTTAAAAGAAAAAAAGATTATCCAGGGGATAAATATATTGTAGGTACAAAATTCCATATACATTTATTTATTCATTCAACTGTGTTAATTATATAATTCAAATTGTTTGCAAAATTATTTTTGTTCTACCTGTCATAGCCTGATAATTTTTTATTAAATTATTCCTTTATAATTGTTCCTGTTTTGACTTGTATTTCTAACATATTTTTTTCTGTTTAACTGAAGCTGTATTCCAGACCAGACTTTCTAATTACACGTGTATCTTTAATTTTTAAAATTTTTTTATCATTTTATTTGTTTATTTATTTATTGAGAAATAAATATGAATGAGACAGTTTCATAGCTGATTAATAGGACAGTTTTGATAGTCAATACACTGTACATTGTTATCTTCTTAGTGGTTATCCATAGTACAAGAAGCAGACAGGATATTCTGTCCAAACACTGTTAGTAC